ATATAGAGAAGTTTTCGACATTTACCCTGAGCCGGGTATGTTTAATAATTACGTCTACGAAACAAAATGAGAAATTGTTTAGCATTTTAACGCGAATCAATGTCTAAAGTACTTAGGTAGTTAGGTACTCAACAAAAATAACCAATTAATTTTGGTACTATATTGCATTTAACCTATAAAAGAGATGAGTTTCCTTAATAGCTTTGTACAGATCCTAAAATTACATAGATGAAATCCTTTTGTGGCTTGATTTGTTCCGGAGACAAGACCTTGATAAAGGCTGAACACATTATTTTTCCTCTTGGTTTATGGCTTCAAATTACGGCGATTTTATTATAGATATTGTTACCAATTATCTGTACATAATAGTTGTGGTAGATTCTGTCGTTTTCCGGTGTGTTCGAGTATAGCTCGTTCAAAGAAACTAGTCACGTGCCCGATGTTATGCGCACGTTTGGCTTTGATTTGGCGAGGTCCTGGTTTTACTAGGATCGACTGCCAATTGACCTCTTTTTGGAAGATAATAATGCAACATTACCATGCATTATGTCATGTTACGAACATAAAGTCTTTAGTACTCGATTACAATATGGTAACATAATTATCGTAACTTTATTCAAGTCACATATTCTAATTTCTTAATAATGGCGTTTGTGAAAGCGCGGGAATTTTCTGAACTGTCACTGTCATTTGTCTCTGATTCTAGTGTTGTGCACCACTTTTAAGCCTAGGATACACTATTGGAAAAATGTCACAAGATATGTCGAGCAAAGCCGGTCGATGTCGCTTGACACATACGGTGACAACGCGCAACTTATGTCCACTGTGACATTGGTGTTGCCAGACATGTTGACCAAGGTCCGACAACGTTGCGCTACTACCTCGCGGACATTTGTCTCCTAGTGTATCCCTGGCTTAAAGACAGAGTTCACTATACAATAAATCTAGTCTATTAGTTGACATGTCAAAAATATTTGTGAAAATTTCATAGCTTCCTAGCTAATTAGTAAGAAGACTAAATAATCTCGTCTGCTCTACACAATACAAATAGGTTTACGTTTCCAACAAGAGTTGACTAGCTTAGTTCTCGACGTAGGCGGTAGGAAGGTAAGGTTGTAAAGTGTATAATTTAAAGGGCGCAATAGGATCTAATGAGCGGTATTCCGTACATTGAAGAGCTCTCGTCACAGTCCCTGTGTATTCTTGCTCGAGTAGATATATATAACTTATTATACTCTATAATATAAGCTTGCTGTACATCACTAATAGGATTTTCTATACTATTTTAAATGGTGAACTTAATACTTGTTAGTAAGGCTATTACTTGGGGCCATTATGTAATATAATCGGATTCATTTCAAGCTTAGCTGGTCGGTTCGTCTAAAGTTAGGGATTTATTGTTATTTTTATTAAAATTGTATTATTATGAATTCGTTGATTGACAATGTTGTATTATAATTTAAAATACAATTTTAAGCTTTGAAATATCCTTATGTACGCGTAAATGATTTAGCTGCACTGTCCCTGAAGAGATATTGTATTTACCTATTCTCATTGTTCCTCGGCTTCCTCACGCAATTATTTGACGAACAACTCGACTAGTTTCAAGCCAACCTAGGGTCATATTCATGAGCAGTATTCCGCGACCGGCGAGGCGGCGACTGTCGCGCTGCTACTGAACTAAACTAGTTGAGTTCTTCGTCAAATAATTACGTGAATAAGTAAGCCGAAAAAATAAATAATTTATTTATTATGTGACATAAAAGTTATAATATAAACATTCTCATTATGTGTACGCGAATTTAAAATATTATTTATTTATACTGGTATCTTACTAGAAGCTCTATTGAACGACACGTGTCTTCATAACTGAAACGACAATATAGTCAGATATCCAACCACGATTACACATTTTCCCTACTCTTCCAAGGAAAACCGAAGTATTATTATATGTCTTCCTCATCGAAAAAGATGTAATAAAAGAGCAAGTTCTATAAATAGATAGCAATATAATTTTCAAGATAACATTAAGTATATTGAAAATATAAGGTAATAAACGGATTATCTAGTTTCATTTTTAAATTGAAGCTAGTCCATTGATATGCTTCTAGTGCTATGGTTAAGGACCACAGACTATTAAGAACAGAGATATACAAAATACTTAATTTGATTGCTTCGTTATTGTAAGTAATAACAAGTGAAACTGTAAAGCAAGAAGTCCTGAGTTAGGTTTTCAGGTCAAAAAGTATTAAATTAACTAAAATTGCGGGTTACTCACGTGAATATATTCAGAAAAGCTCTACTAGTTTCGAACACACAGAGGGGTTCTTCCTAATGTGCAGCGTGCGCGGTCGCAGCGATGTATATTCACGTGAGTAACCCGCAATTTTAGTTAATTTAATATGTCTCACGATAGTTATTATAAAATTCAAAAAGTGTTATTACAATATTTTAGTTTGTATTCGAACATTTCTGAGAAATACGGCGGTACTTAAAATTGTGTGCAGTGAATGGCAAGATTCTCTCTCTTTCTCATTAAATGGGACTCATATCGTAACTGATGACAAGTAGACGTTACTATGTATTCTGAGTAAAAGGTTCACAGTTCTTTGTAAAATTGCTTTAGCCACAACTTTGTATTTCTACTTAACTTATATTTAAAGCTGAAGTCTTAAGTAAGTTGAGCTTACAAAGTGAAAGATTGCGTGTTCAGTTCCTTTGGCAGAAATTAAACTAGTTTTCATTTATTTTGCAGCTTTAGTAGCGTAATTTTATTGAACTTCGTGTACATTGCAACTTAAATATGTTCTTTTTAATGGGATAAGCCGATAAACCAGTGAATGGTAAGCAATGGGCGTCGCCCATGGACACTTAGAAGACCAGAGGCGTTACTTGGGCATTAGGAATTTGAGAATTGTTGGGGATTCACTATCTATTGGATATAAAAAAAACTATAGGATAATGTAGGTAATAGACAATTTGATCTCATGATTTTGTTTACGTTGCTGTGATTATGTCCGTAATTGAAGTTAATATAAGGAAAACATATTTTATAAATAAGACTTATGTATTGTATTGTTTAGAAAATAGATCTTACCTCTATTACAAAGAAGGTTAATATAGGTTCTATAGCGAAATATATCAGCTGTAACGTGATGCTACGTAAAATCTTTTAAGTCAAAATATCGTCCCAATATTCACAAATCAGATAAAAACACTGTGGGAATCAAGAAGCCACGACCGACCGGTTGCCGGTCGTCCTTGTAAAAAACAACGTAACAACCGGTAGCCGGTAGAGAGACGGTTAAAAAACCGTAGCAAATGTGAATACGGTCTGAACGCGTACGGTGTAATGTTTTCTGGAATTAAAATGGATTGCTTTTGTTTTTTTTTTCCTTAAATAATAGGGTCGGTGCTCGTCTTGTCATGTATTGTCTAGTCATGCTACTAGTTAAGTTTTGTTATAAAAAAACGTGTCTTTGAGGGATAGATAAATGGACATTTAGTTAAGAAAAGATTGGGTGGTCTTGGTGTCCTGTTACGAAGAATGAAGACCAAGTAACACACTAGTAATTGGTTTAGTGTTGTTGATGTGTATGGGCGGCTATAGTCGTTTTTTTTTTGAGGGGAAAATCATCCAATGACTTCTCCCGCCCGGGTGAGGCGAGAAGGAATATCAGACTCTTACTGACTAAAATCCAACCCCGCTACCCGTTACGTCCTCCGCGGCTCCGTCTCCGCTAGCATCATCCTAGTCGGTGACCATCATGTGATACTTTGCTTCCTGTCCTACAATCTTAACTTTCTTTATCTATTTGTCTCTATTAAACTTTACTACTTACCGCTCTTTTGTATTCTGACTACTATAATTTTAACGTACCTGATAAATTTCAAAATATAAAGCTATGTAGGTTAGGTAGGTTACCTATCTCAACATTACAAGATGTGCCTATTTGTACAATTATTAATTTACAAGCCAAAATCCGTGTTCGTTTGTTCCTTGTCCATAATACCGTCTATTTTATTTACTGAGCCAAACAATTTCGCGTACAAATTACATTGTTCATGCGCTTAATTTATTTCGTATTGAAACGTTTAATGATCTCTCCGTAAGCTCACATTGTTATATTTAATATTCAATGACGTATCAAAATTAATTAGCCAGTTAATTATACCATAGCAATAATTATGTTTTAAGCAGAATCCCTCTCGTCAAGGGGATAGCTGGAATTCGTTAATGAATGTAACTTGATTTAAATGAATTTAAAATTTGTCCGTTTTTACTTGAATGTGAAATTTAAATGTAACTGCCTCGTTGACATTAACTGACATCGCCGTTTTTACGCGTACTTTAAATTATTATTCATTTGTAGTCGAGTATTATTTCAGTTCACATTAACATTAACTACTTACACCTGATTGTCCTATACTGGAATAGGGTTTCCTCCTCAAAATAGGGTTTTCTGTAATCTCTTGTCGTCGAAGGCTAGTTGTCACAGTTTAAAAAATTCTGGTTTATTAGAGAGTCCTGCAGCCCAGTTTCTCTCACATACGGTAGTTGACAACTAGTCAAATTCAATACTTTCATCGAAACGTCAAAAACGATACTGTGAATTTTGTACGAAATACCATCTTATGACGTCATTATATTTTCGCGTCAAATAGCACACTTATATCTAAAAGCAATGCTAGAATAAATCGAAAATTAAAAATATGGACAGATCAATGAATGAAATTGTAACAATTTTTTAATATTTAATGGGACTGTATAAATAAAAATAATTTATTTTTAACCCAAGAAACTACCAAATTTGTAGTCGACAATGATCCTTCTGTTCTACAATTACTCTGCATGCTAAATCGCTATAGAAAATTAAAAAATGTTTTATGTAGGTATATCTGTGTACCGTATTGTCAATTGGCGTAAACAATATTACAAGCTGTGTAAGTAGACCAAAAATGTAATTCTTTTTCTAAACTATGTTTGTCTCTTGTTACAGATCATTAAGCTTCATTCGTCTCGTCGCTTCTTGGACGAAGTAAGTTGTAAAACTCGACAGCAAATGGATTTACTTTAAAATATATTCCAAACTTTACAAGAACTTCGTTCGAATAGAAATATTTTTAGTATAAAAACTATATCTTACTTTTAATCATAGACATTGCTAGACAGAGACAGGAATCTATGAATATTTAATTTTTTTAATTTTAGAAATGTATCTACTACAATTCTGGTTACATTTTTTTTTTTAACATTTTTTGCTTAAATCAAACATGGGATCTCTAAAAATAATACACTTAGAATGTATTACACAGGCATAATCTCGAGAAAAGTAATTAACATACACATAAAAATACAACTCACAACTAAAACCATCTAGAACAAAATAGCTTGATTTTGTTTTTGTCACAAAACTACTAAAAAGAAAAAAGATAATTATCTAACATGAAGTCAACATGAGTCCACATTAACATTGACGTACGTGACGACTGCGTAAACTTTGTGAGCGCACCAATGCCAAGGTGACCGGCAAATGAATGTATCCCTGTGAACCAAACTCCTTCGGTACACGTTTGTCACTCCGGTGACATCGCCTACGCCCCCACTCTCTAATTAGTACAGAAATAACGTCAAGAGATTTGTCAACTTCCGAACCTTTATGGCATTCCTTTGACGATACTCCGGCCAAGTTGTACGTCCTACATCTCACACAGGAACTCAAATAGATCGTTAACTGACTGTGAAATATCGTTTTGAACTTTGGGGTGGTCCATGTTAATACCTCATATTATTTAGTTACATCGCCAGAACAAATTAATCTTGATTGTTCAAGTTCTCGTCTACGAAGTTTTGTTGTCCAAACTTTGTTGATGGAAAAAGTTTAAATATACCTAAGTGCTTTGTTTTTAGAATCAAATTGTTGCCAATAGTTGATCTAAATTGCTTTTCGTAACGTTTAATCTTTGCCATTCGCTTTTGCATTCAAATTAATTCTAAAACGAATAATTTTATTGTATTCAACAGAATTTTATTGAAATAAATGAATCGGATTTAGTTAAATGAGTACATTTTAATACAGTTAAATACATTTGTTGTTCATAAATTTCAAACTTACTCAAACTTTTACCCCGACTCTAATTCAGTTCAACCGTTTACATTCGCATTATTCAAAATTTTAACTAGAAGAAGGGGTTATACAAAAATGATAAAACTAAGTTCCCCAACGTCAATATTACCGAGAGAAATTAATCTGAAGCTAAAAGGGAGCCCTCGAAAGTTATCTGAGGAAGCTGGAGCGAGGCATGACCTCACAATCAAATGTCAAACAAAGTTTTATCAGCGCAAAGTTGACAAATAAATCCCCCGTCCCGCAAGAGAACTTTTCTCATAGTCGACGCGACGAGACGTGATCCCGCCGACTATATCAACCTCTTCATGTTCACAGCTCTCATATATTTTTTGTTGATACTGTAATAGCTGCAATTTCCACAATTGCACAAAATTGCTTTTTGGTAACAAGCAAACAAAGGAAACTAACACGCTAAGGTCCTTATTGTACATTCAATTATGTTTAAGAACACGTCATCTTCGTCGTTTCGATAATTGAGTCTCTTGTCTCTGGAACACGCACGGCGCGTGGGGCAGCCGTGTCACGCGACTAATCCGAAGTCCCATAAAATCTGTAAGACTCGAGACCTCACTCGGGGCGTCGAATGAGAAACGACTGACAAGCACGCCCACCTTGTCTCCTGTGACAACGTATTCTCGAGATTTTCTCACTTATTATTTGTTCAATTTCTTTTTGTGAAATCCTCTTGTGTATCCTGTTAAGGTTGAATTTTACAAGGATCGATTACTTGCTTTTTAAAAACGAATTTCTTCCTTTTATTTTTGTTGAAACTATAGTTCAAAACTAGTCTCACTAGTATACAATTTCGATTTAATGAACGCAAACAAGTTCAACGAAAATAGAAAAGATATTTAGAGAAGTTGGAACAAACAAGAATATTCTTATTTGTACGGAAAGCCATGGAGATGTCAAGAATCCAAACATGAAACATACTCGTGGCACCCCTTCCGAACCGCTCCCTAATGAGCCAATAAGCAACTCTGGTGGAATAGAAGATTCAGTAAACAGTAACTTACAAGTTTCGTGTTACATTTTGAAGAGTTCATTACTTTGTATTATTTAAACTCCAGTTAAGTGTGCTTAAACAGCTGTCATTTGTCAAGTGCTGGCCAAAAGTGATGGATGGCACGGGCGTTTCCGTTCGACTTTTAAAACTGGGGACTGTTGTAATGGGCCAGTATTGTTATTTCAGTCGTCGGAAACGTAACGAAGTAACGTATGGGAATGTTAAAAGTGACGGAGCACATATATTTTATAAGCGTCCATTTGTCTAGAGGCGCATGTGTGTCCGCCCTGTGCGCTGAAATATTTACGAGCTATTAGCGCAACAAGAACAAATACGCACTCGAGATGCGTCTCGGAAGCCGGATCACAGGCGTCTTTTAGCGCATCACTGATTTAACACCACTACAGAATTAAGCCTACGTAATTAATGTCGCATCTCTTGCTATATTCGGACCTTTGAAGTCAAAACATATATCTGTTAATTATTTTATGTTAAATGGCGCGTTATTGATCTTCTAATTCACACAGGACTATCAAAGACAGAAGGTAAACATGGGTACTATTAGGATTATACACGACACATTTTTCTTCCATTATTTTACTGTTAAGCTTAAAAATAGAAAGCTAGAAATATCCGTCCACTGGGCTTTTCCCGGGAGAGGAACATTTTCAAAGAAAAAAACTGTGCATGTTCGACGTAAAAGCTTATTTGCTTTTCAATCCTCGCAACATATGTGAGTGGGTCCGAATTAATCCCTGACGCCTTATTAAGGGTGATGTACGGCCAGTATCAACGCAGTAAGTAATTCAATTTCACGATGAAAATCTGTTTAATGAGCCTAAGCTAATGTGTCCACCGTTAACAAATAAAGGCGCAGCGCGCTGACAAATTGCTTAATTTTATTAAGTGGCCGTTCACTTGGCCTGAGTGCAGTGTTTGTTCACTAGGACGCATTTACAGCTCCGCGCGACCGACCCTCGCGCTATCCGCGGTTCATAATGTACAAATTCACTGAACTGCTATATTAGCCGACTGCGACAAAGAAACGGTAATGGACCCTCATATATATGCTAATAAACTTTCCAAATGCGTTTTAAATTAAAATAATCCCGAATTTATATGTAAATTTGTGACCGCACTTTGTCCTTCGCGGCTTCTCGTTCCGAAATCGATTACATTACACGGATTCGAGCTTAGATCCGAGCCAGATAAGTTTAATGAAGGGTTTTACTAAAACGAAGATCCTCTAGTACAATCCACTCGATTGGTGATTCTATCGGCTCTCTCGATTTACTTTTAGCTAATACGAACGACGAAATATAATTGTTGTAACTAAAATATTAGTTTTTATCATCATCACGTTTTATGTCCGCCTGTCGGCACAAATGTAGTTTCTTTACAGATAGTATTAACGATGTTTTTATTTAGTTTTCCATTAGGCATACCAGTATTATCTTAATTTTTATGTGGATAACCTTTTAGTCGCGTATTATCTTATAATATAAAAGCTCAAGGCTGGTTATGAGACCACCCGCACATTCCGACTAGTTTCGATCTAGATGTGTTCGTATCCCCCTTATGTCAGCCCAATTAGTCATGATTAAGTTAAATTTATAGGTTTGTTTAATGGTCCATTAACGAACTCACTAGGAACTAACGACTTCTTATTGTGCTGCAACAATTCCATAAAACACTTTCATCCAATTAAACAAGACGTTGATATTTGATCCCAATACGTTGATGTCACTCTCTATTAGAGTTTATTACTTAAAAGTAATTGTATCAGAAATATGGCTGGCAACACGAAGCCCTTATCCCGTAAATCACTAAAGACGTAACATTAAAAGAGGGAGGTGTGTTTTATATTTTTCTCAAAGAGAAAATGTTTAAGCTTAATTTGAGCAGACATTCAGTAAGGTTTCATTTCGTTTAGAACGTGAAGTGGGGCGTTTTGTTTGACATATTGCACATTTCGCCAGCTCGCCTCTATTTGTACGCGGATGGTATCTTGGTACTACATTTTCAAATGCCGACTGTTACGTTTTTGTATCAAATAACAAAACACGCGATCTCAGGCTTTTATTCTGAAGTTGAGCTCTTTGTGTTTCACGGAAAATGTTGTTATTTAGTTCAAGTACCACGAACGAGTACATTTGTTGGTATTAATTAAATAAAGGTGCTACGGTTTCTCTATGATTGTGTACTGCTTTTAATGTACAAAACAGGCACCTACAGTATTAAAGTATACATTTATAAACATAGATTGGGATTATTTTAAACTTGTTAGATTAATAGGTATACTTTATGAGCACACAATTTTCTATCTTAATACATAATGAGGTAAGTAACCTTTTGTATGCTAAGAAATTTATTTTATGACCTTTTCACATTTGAATATTGTTTACGCAGCATAGCAATATAACACTGAAAGCTAAAATATTTGATACTTACATCAAACGCTGTTTCAAGGCAAAGTTATTTTGACAGGTCATTTTATAAAGTTTTAAGCCTTTATTTAGACGTGTAGTAGATTAATGCTCAGTCTTTATAACAAATAGGTTGTATAAACGAATATTATATTAGCCACGTAAATGTTGACATTTGAAAATACGATGGTGCTGAGCTCCTTATGTATTTCATGATAAATGGTTTTCAATTTATACAGCGACAGCTATCGAGGAAAGCTTTCGGTAACGAATGCTTATGTCTAGAATGCACGCAATGTAAGTAGTGGATACCAACATACCACGATTACGTTCTATGTAACGTAATTCGAGTCACTGTATTGTGACGTCACAACGTGGCTGACAATTTAATGTTCGTTTTAATTGCAGTTAGTTCAGCGGTTCTGGTTGTACCTAAAATGCTGATGAATTAGATTAATTGTGTAATGCATTGTTAG